GAAACATCACCACGGAAACAACCAAGATTCAAAACATTATAAGGGAATACTTCTCAAAACTTTATGCTAATAAGTTTGAGAACTTGACAGAAATGGACCTTTTCCTAGCAAATATTGACATGCCAAAACTAAACCAAGATGAGTTAACCCAGCTTAACAGGCCCATATCAAGTGTTGAAATAGAAACAGCAATAAGAGACCTTCCAGCTAAGAAAAGTCCAGGACCAGATGGTTTTACAGCGGAATTCTACAAGGCCTTCAAAGCAGAGCTCACACCAATACTCCTCCAACTCTTCAATGAAATTGAAAGAGAAAGTTCACTACCGAACACATTCTATGAAGCCATCATAACCCTCATCCCAAAACCAGGCAGGGACTCATCAAAGAAAGAGAACTATAGACCCATTTCTTTGATGAACATTGATGCAAAACTTCTCAACAAAATTTTGGCTAACCGACTTCAACAATTTACCCAAAAAATCATACACCATGATCAAACAGGATTCATTTCAGGGATGCAAAGGTGGTTCAATATACGCAAGTCAATTAATATTATTCATCACATCAACAGGAGCAAGAATAAGAACCACATAGTTATCTCAATAGATGCAGAAAAAGCATTCGACAAGATCCAACACCCCTTTATGATGAAGGTTTTGGAAAAATTAGGAATCCATGGAACATAACTCAATACAATAAAGGCTGTATATGACAAACCTACAGCCAACATTATACTTAATGGTGAAAAACTAAAGCCATTTCCTCTTAACTCAGGAACAAGGCAAGGATGGCCACTCTCTACACTTCTCGTCAATCTAGTATTAGAATGCCTAGCTACAGCAATAAGACAAGATGCAGACATAAAGGGGATCCAAATAGGTAAAGAAGAAATAAAACTCTCCCTCTTTGCAGACGACATGATCTTGTATTTAAAGAACCCCATAGACTCCACTCCCAAATTACTCAAGCTGATACAAAACTTTCGCAAAGTAGCAGGGTATAAAATTAACTCCCAAAAATGAATGGCTTTTCTGTTTGCCAACAATGAGAAAAGTGTGGCTGAAATTAGGAAAGCAACTCCATTTGTAATAGCCCCACAAAAAATAAAATACCTAGGAATTAACTTAACCAAAGAAGTGAAGGACCTCTATGATGAAAACTTTAAAATCTTGGAAAAGGAAATCAACACAGAAATTAAAAAGTGGCAAAGCCTCCCATGCTCCTGGATTGGAAAGATTAACATCGTGAAAATGGCAATACTTCCCAAGGCTATCTACAAATTCAACACAATACCTATCAAAAATAGAAGAGGCAATCCAAAAATTCATATGGAACAATAAAAGACCCCGAATAGCAAAAATGCTCCTCAACGGAAAGAACACTGCTGGAGGAATATCAATACCAAATTTCAAACTCTACTATAAAGACATAGTAATCAAAACAGCTTGGTATTGGCATAAGAACAGATCTCAGGACCAATGGAATAGAATTGAAAACCCAGAAATGAACCTACAGACCTATAGCCATCTAATCTTCGATAAGGGAGCTAAAACAATAGACTGGAAGACAGACAGCCTCTTCAGTAAATGATGCTGGCAAAATTGGTTAACTACTTGTAGAAAACTAAAGCTAGATCCTTATATATCACCCTGCACCAGAATCAAATCCAAATGTATCAAAGACCTCGAAGTCAAAGCAGACACTCTGAAAACATTACAGGATAGAACAGGAGAAACCCTAGGTCTCCTTGGCTCAGGCTGAAATTTTTTTAATAGAGACCCGGAAACACAACAAATCAAAGAAAGGTTGGACAAATGGGATTGCATCAAGTTGCAGAGCTTCTGCATGGCAAAGGACATAGCTAGCAAGATCAATAGAAAGCCCACGGATTGGGAGAAGATCTTTACTAGCCATACAACGAACAAGGGTCTCATATCTAAAATATACCTGGAACTCAAAAAATTAAACCCCCCAACAACAAATCCTCAAAGAAACAACTGCCCAATAAATAAGTGGGCAAAAGACTTAAATAGAAACTTCTCTGAAGAAGGAAGAAGGATGGCCAATAGACACATTAAGAAATGCTCAACCTCCCTAGCCATAAAAGAAATGCAAATCAAAACAACATTGAGATACCACCTCACTCCAGTTAGAATGGCAAAAATCAAGAATTCTAACAACAACAGATGCTGGAGGGGATGTGGACAGAAGGGAACCTTACTTCATTGTTGGTGGGAATGTAAACTTGTTCAACCACTTTGGAAAGCAGTATGGAGGTTCCTCAAAAGTCTTCACATAGAACTCCCTTATGACCCAGCAATCCCACTTTTGGGCATTTACCCAAATGTTTACAAACAAGACCACACTAAAGCTACCAGCACAACTATGTTTATTGCAGCATTATTTACCATAGCTAAGATATGGAACCAACCCAGACGCCCCTCAGTAGATGAGTGAATCAAGAAAATGTGGTATATATACACAATGGAATTCTATGCCTCCATCAGAAAGAATGACATTGCCCCATTTGTTAGGAAATGGAAAAACTTGGAAAAAATTATATTAAGTGAAGTAAGCCAGGCCCAAAGAAACATAGGTCCCATGGTTTCCCTTATTTGCAATATCTAGTATATGTATGAGTCAAGCAGAAAAGGTCAGATAATGTGATGTCAGGAAAATGAACCCTTAGATATGTATTTTAATGTTTTATTTCTTTCATGCATGTGTTTCTAACCCATTTATAAGATCATTTCTTGGTTGCTTTGTATGTCCCTCCCCCACAGTATAACCCCTGCTTTCACTATATTTGATGTCAGTATAACTTGTGGAGGAGATGGGGAAAAACAAGTCGTTTAAGGATACAGGTGGACCTATTGCAACAATGAGAAATACAAGTTGTCATGTCCAAAACGAGCTTTACAACATCGGTGTGGGGGGGGGGGGGTGAAGGAGAAGGATTGGGATTGGGAGGGAGGGGGGAGGCTGGGAAGGGATGTGAAGGGTAAACAAAGGAGGAGGCTCCAATGCTTGGTAAGAAATGTACGCATTATCCATATAATTGTAACCCCTCTGTACAGTATGTTCACAAATAAAATAAAATTAAATTAAAAAAAAAAAAGAAAGGAAACTTGGATGAGCTGAGGATATTCTACTGGCTGCTGGAGAGTGAGCCAAAGGGACAGTGCTTTCCTCTTCACCCCATGATTTCTAAAGTCTTTTCTAAAGTAACAATGCATATTAATTATCCCAAATAGATATCTTTTGTTGTTGTTTTTGTTGATACTGAGGTTTGAACAGCCTGAGCACTGTCCCTCAGCTCTTCAGTTCAAGGCGAGTGTTCTACCACTTGAGCCACAGCACCATTTTTGGTTTTGTGGTAGTTAATTGGAAATGAGAGTCTCATAGACTTTCCTGCCTGGGCTGGCTTTGAACCATGTCCCTCAGATCTCAGAGTAGCTAGAATTACAGGCATGAGTCCTCAGCACCCAATTCCAACAAATGTACTTTAAAGGCAGGAAAGCAACATAATAAACCTCAATCCAACATTATCAGTCAAATGGTGAATGAAACTGAGATGAAGGTATGTATTGGCTTCCTGAAACTCACAGTCCATCAAAGTGTTAAAAACATCCTTACCTGGATGCCATGACTCAACAGGATGGCACTGTCCTAAAGTATCTGTTTCAAAGCAGAGAAAACATTGCCCAGTGATTGATTTGAGAATTCCATTATAGGACATGAGAAGGAGAACAAAATCCTTTGAAAGGGAAATGTTATACACTCACAATATACATCTCATGCATGTACTTTTCTATATATTTCATGTATGTATGTGTGTATACATGAATTCTAAATTGAGTTGGGTTTGAGGGTCATTATCACAGCTTTCTAAAATCTTTAAGTCTGTGAATCATGAATAAGGAATTAGATTAATTCCCCACAACTCCTGGAACTCTAAGCATAAAATCACTTCCTGAAATAAGATCATCTTGGTTTTTCTGAAATTATTGATTGTGGTCAGTTCTCTAAGATCAATTTCTTTTTGCAGACACACACAGAATTAAGGTTTCACTTGAAATATTCTTGCAAAAGTAGGCAGAAAATATCAAGACATTAAAGTAGATGGAAAAGCCTCTTTTTTCTTCTCAGTTGTGAGGCTTGAACTCAGGGCCTGGGTGCCATCCCTGAACTCTTTTGTGCAAGGCTAGTACTTTACCACTTTTAGCCACTCCACAACTTCTGGTTTTCTGATGATTGGAAATAAGAGTCTCTGTCTTTCCTGCCTAGGCTAGCTTTGAACCTCAATCCTCAGATCTCAGCTTCTTGAGTAGCTAGGATTAAAGGCATGAGCCAATAGCAAATGCCTTTGGGAAAGGCTTTTTGACAAAAAAAGAAATCCTAGAAATTTGGAAGATTAAAGGACTTTTTATGTTGGAAATGAACCATACAGCTTTGTGGGGAAGGAATTTAGGAGGGGAAAAACTGGAAAAGAATGAAGGATGAGGTAATACTGTTCAAAAGAAAATGTATCATTACCTGACTTATGTAACTATAACCTCTAGGTAAAATACATTTACAATAAAATTTTAAGAAAAAAGAGTAAAGGAATTTTTCAAAGTTTGGTGATAAACACACACACACACACACACACACACACACACACACACATTACAGTGGAGGAAGTGTGAGGCCTTGAGTTCAAACTTTATATTACCAAAAAGTGACTTAATTGTGACAAAATGTCAACCTTGATCTCTACATACTTATTGTATATTTACTGTTTAATCAAGACACATTTTATTTAACTTATTGCAGTTTTGGCTTTGTAGTTCACACAGTTAAGTGAACTTTTAACCAGAGTTCAGTAGTTAGGGGTGTGACTACAAGGTGGCAGTGAAACTCAGCAGATATCCAATATGTTCATTTTAGTGGTTCTAAATGAATAGGCCAAAGGCAAAAGCAAATCTTTTTCTTATTGGCTATGTAGACATCTCAGGAAATACTACAACTGAAAGAGAGAAAGGGAGACAACTTGGTAACAGAAGTGACATCCAGATAGGAGATCTTAAGTCTTCAACTGATCCTACTTGGGAAGAAAAATGAAGAGATTGATTCATGATTTATTCCTGCTCCTGTGGCTGCAGCTGCACTGTGAGTTGAGGATTAAGGGAAACCATATATTTCTTTAGATATCCAGGAGAAGATCAGGTTATCCAAACTGTCTATAGTTACTGTAGGAAAAGACCATTCTGAAGAGTACTGACCTAACTGTCTCCTTTCTGTCTTTCTCTCCCTATAGTGCTGAGCCAAGGAGAGAAGGTGGAGCAGAGTCCTTCTGTCCTGAGTGTGCAGGAGGGAGACAGCTGTGTCATCAACTGTACTTACACAGACAGTGCCTTCTCATACTTCCCTTGGTACAAGCAAGAACCAGGACAGGGTCCCCAGCTTATTATAGACATCCGTTCAAATCGGGACAGAAATGAAAATGGAAAACTCCTGGTCTTATTGAAGAAGAATGACAAACGCCTTTCCCTGCTCATCAAAGACACTCAGCCTGGGGACTCAGCTGTCTACTACTGCGCAGCAAGTACACATTGCTCCCCAGGCACCTGCAGCCCGTCCTCAAACCTGCCTCTAGGATTGCAGCCCACATCTTTCCTTGCCATAGCCCTTCCAGCCCAGTCATTTGCCTATTGTTTGCAAGTGGCAGCTAACACAGATACTAAGAATAAATATTAAGAATAAATATTATGTTTAGGGGACATGGCTGTTGAGAACCTCTTATAGGTGGATTATTTGTAAGAGACAATTTTTTCTAGTTTATTTAGTATTATTTATAGGAAGGATACATGCTTTGAGGTGAAAGAAAAATCGGTAGAGCTAGGTTTAGGGATGGAACACAAGGTCTCATTTCCCAACTTCTCTGGGCATGCCAAATCCAGGCTCATCCTCAGATTCAGCATTTGTTAAGCTGCACTTAACAACTTGTTAGAAGCAACTAATGGTGGGTTCTTTTCTTTTTGTCTTGTGCCAGTATGTAGACTTGAACTCAGGGCTTGGTCCTTGCCCTTGAGCTTTTGTGTTCAAAGCTAGTGCTCTAGCACTTAAGCCAAAGCTCAATTCCAGCTTTTGATGAGTAACTGGAAAGAATCTCATGGGCTCTTGTGGGCAATTGGAAATAAGAGTCTTATAGACTCTCCTGCCTGGGCTGGCTTCCAACCATAGTCCTCAGATTGTAACCTTTGAGTAGTTAGGATTGCAGGCATGAGCCAATGGCATCCAGCATGATGGTTTCTTAACTCAGTGCTTTATGAATTTATGATATCAAATTTCTCCATATGAATGACTTCAATATAAATATTGCCTCTCTATTGTGCATGGTGTTTAAGTCTTTTGAAAGTTTCATGATTAACTATTATATACTGTTAACTAAATAAAACATCAAAAGATAAAATTGGTAATTCTTTACTCAGACTATTTGTTGGGAACACTTAGTCAAAGGATACAAAGAAACTGATATGATGATTAATAAGTGTACAAGTCTAATGTACAATATAAGTACTGTAGTTAATAAAATTATACACTATTACATTTTTCTCAAATAAGTATTTTCTTGCATTTAACCTTCTCAAATGCTCAAAAATGTAACTAAGTAAAATGATAGACATTTGTAGTATGCAACTTATGTTCACCTAATAATGTCATGTTGTAGACAGCAAATAATTCACAATAAAATTTAGTTAAATTCATCTTTCATTCGTATTTCTCAATAAAGGTCCATTGTTTCAAGAAAATTAAATTTACTCCTTGGATACAATTTTTATTGCCACCTTAAATTTCTCTAGTATTTGAAGAGTTTTATGTGAGCATTTATCATCTACATTAATCATCTCATAGTAGTGGGTTACAAAAGGAAGGTGGACTAATAGTTAACAGTTCACCACTAATTTTTGCTTAATCTTAACTTTTGACTGAATTACATATTTTATCTTAAATGTCTTTAAAAACCATATTTATACTTTTGTCAGCAAATCAGCAGAAATAAATACACTATGTAAATGTTTGATTCTCTAATTATCCAAACTCTAGACAAGGGTAGCAAAAGATCAAGAGCTCCCATATTTATCTAAGGATGAAAGTAATTGGAGACTAGGTAGGTGAGAATGATCTCTTGTAGCTGAGTTGTGGATGCTACTTATCAGCCAATTGATTTGCTCTAATAGGCAATGTTAATCAAATATATTAGTTTTCCACAACAAAGTTCTATATTGTAGCCCAGCCATCATCTGGCTTTTCTCATTTTCCCTCACTACACAATTAACTCCTGGTCCACAGAAGCAAGTCGGCTCTTGGTTGGTCTAATTATCCCTAGAAATCAGTATAGGGTGGGGAGACAACAGGGGCTTATACTTTATTGCTTTATTTCTTGGTTATAAAAGAGAAATGATGTGGTATTCATTTGGCTTACTTGATGTATCTTATTAAGATGACAATGGATCAAATATAAGAAAACAAACAATAATTATGTACCCAGAGTATTCAGGCAAAGTCAATACCCAGAATACAGAGTCTGCATCTCAGATCCATACACATTTAAGCGTTAGATCTGGCCATAGTGGTATGTTTCCTCATTTTACTTCTTTAACAAATTTGATAGCTTAAAAGGATAGGAATATATAAGAATAACAACATGTATTTCCCCCCACAGTTCTGAAAGTGTGAGGTTGAAATTTGTGTTCCTGGGTCTGAATCAAGATGTCATCAGACTGCATCTGACAGCAGAACAGAATTTGATGGTTGCTACCATTTCTCAGCCTGTGATTCCATCATTCCTGACTCTGCCTCCTTGGTTGCACTGGAATCTCTTCTTTTCTTATCAATCTCTCTCTAACCATATGAGTGATTGCACTAAGCTCTGATAATCAATGACACTCTTCAGATCTCAGGACCCTTAGCTGAATTATATTTGTCTGTAACTGTCAGGGATTTGGTAGAAAAGAATCTGATACAGAGAGAGTTCTCCTTTGCCTCACATTTTGACATGTCTTTGGTTTTTATTTCTAAATTGAGAACATAATAAATTAGGCAGAGTTCCATCAAAGAAAAACAGAAAGTATAATTATCTTATATTCTCAACGATCCCAATTTTTAAAGTATTTTTAAAAAAACAAATGTTTTGTGCATTTCTGTTTGTGACTATTGAATTCTAATACACAGCATATATTCAAACACTCTTCTTTGTTCTACAAAATCATGGCAACTGATTGATACTATTTTATACATTCAGTTTGAATTATGTTCTGTATAATTTTAGTTGCTCCAGCTCTAGCTTAAATTTTCATCAATAGATTTTTATAACATTTACCAGGCTGATTTTATTGATCAAAATTTGCATTATCTATTCTAGTTGGGACTGTCTACTTATTGGGAATTTTCAAACAATAGCATTGAATAAAAAAATGCAACAAAATTTTCACTTTGTTGCATAGTAGTGACTTTGTAGAGTAAAATACCACTGACGTAAGCAAAGTCTACTCCAAGGTCTATATTTAAGTAAAGTTTAAAAATAGAAATGAGGAATATTACTGTGTCCATAGGTAGGCTGAAATCCAACTTTGTCCTGTGTTGATAAAGTGATTGATTTCTACTTTAAGAAGCAGTATAGGTGTTAGAACATCCATTTATTGTATCTTAGGTTGGTCCTTAGTAACAAATACCAACAGGTATTGTTACTATTATCCCCTTCCAGTCATATCACAGATGTAAGGACTGAGATTATGATATCAAATTAATTTCCTTTTGATATGCTTTAGATTATTTTCACCTTAGATTAATGGTTACAAGATTGAGTGGGTTAATGCTTACATCATTTGCATGAAAATGGATAAACCTGGAAAAAATATGTTAAGTGAAATAACTCAGGTTCACAGAAACAAAAGATTCTTGTTTCATCTCACATGTAAAATTAATATTTAAATTAATAATATATACTTAAACATATACAGGGCCATATGTATATATACATAAATAACTAAAGTGGTGTATGCAAGGAAAGATTGCAATGATATTCCCTTCAAACAATTAAGTTAGTATGTATTAAAATGAACATGAGAAAGCTAGACCTTGTGTTGTCCAAAGTGAGGGGATGATGTCAAAGGAAGGTGGAGCAGACAATGGTGGAAGAAAGGTAGGCAAATGTTGACATAATATTCAATGCTCATATGTGAAAATGGAACTATGTAACTTGAGGGATGGGTAGAGTTGGAAGAGATGGGCGGCATTATGGATGGGTGGCATTGATCAAGATGCATTATATCCATAAACTGGCAGGTTGAATTAGTACAACTATTTAAAGATAATGAAAAAAATTCTAAAAAGTAGGATTGGGTGAAAGTCTCAGCCAGCACAGAAAGGTTAGACATGATATACAAGTCGTACACCAGTTATTCTATGTTTCACATTCTCCTGCAGCAGCAACACACAACTCACAAACTCCTTCACCCTGGGAGGGCCCCTCAGAGCTCAGAGCTCAGAAAGTAGAGGTAGCATACATTTCACATCAAAGAAAGAACACACATGCAGGTCTCCAGATGCTCCATGGTTTCAATGTGGCTGGTAGGGGTGGGCCATTGCAAATGCGTATCCTGTGTGACCTGAGCACTCGGAATAGGAATATCTTATGGGGACCTGGGAAAGGGGGCAACAGGAGGTAAAAGTGGGGTTTCTGTGATCTACACCACTCAACACTAAATTTTCTTTTCTCTTTTCTGTTTCCCTTTCCTTTGCTTTTCTATTCATTGATGAGTATGTGTATGTGTGTGTGTGTGGTGTGTGTTTGTGTGTGTGTGTGTGTGTGTGCATGTACACGTGCATGCACGGGCTACTGGGCTTTAACTCAGAGCCTTACTCTCTCCCTTGGCTATTTTTCTCAAGGCTGGCACACTATCACTTGAGCCACACCTCTAGTTCTAGCTTATTTAAGTTCTCATGGATTTATCTGCCTGGGCTGGTTTAGAAGCACAATCCTCAGATCTCAGCCTCTTGAGTGACTAGGATTACAGGAGTGAGCTACTGGTGACATGCTCCCTTACACTTTCTGATTCTATCTTGTCCATCATGATCCAGTTTATCCAGAAGGTAGCTCAGATGCAACTAGTAGTGTGGATTCAGGGGAAAGAGGATGTATTCCTGCACTGCACCTATGACACCAGTGTTAGAGACATGGTCTCTTCTGGTACAAGGAGCCCTGCAGTGGGGATATGGCATTCCTTGTTCTCCAGAACTCTCAGAACCAGAAAAATGAAAGAGCAAGTTACTGTTTACTGGAATTATAGAAGACAAAGAAGTCTTTCATTCTTCTTATCTCAGCTTCACAGATGAGGGACTCAGGTGTTCGCAAAACACAAGAGTTTTGGAGAGAGGCACACTACAGAACTCGGGGATTGCCTGACATCCACCTGCTATAGGGACCAAAGCAAAGAATCACTTTTTCAGGTAGAAAGTGGCCAGGTCTGTGACACAAATATTGTATTTGAGGGAAAATGTTTCCTCTGAGAAAATACATCTCTAGGTTCATAGGTCACATCTAGAATTATGACTAATTTTTTTTAAAACCATGAATCTTTGAAGCTAAACACAGACTTTTCAACAGAGGATTGAAAGGGAAGAATACCCATAATAAACAATGTGCTACTTGGCCTTCAGATTAATCTTGAAAGAAATTCAGAACTGTGACCAAA